CCGTGACCGCCGGGGGCCGTGACCGCCGGCTGAGGCCCAGCGGAGCCGGGCGGCCCTGAGGCCGCTCCCGGTGACCGGCAGGCTGAGGAGGCCCGGGAGCGGCTCATTGACCCGCCAGTCGTGCTTGGGAAATAACGTTATTCCGGGGTTTTGTCGTTGTTCTGGTTCGTGTTGTGGGTTTATAGAATAGCTGGGGTCGGAAGGAAGCTCTGGAGGTTACCTGGTCCCTCCCCTTCCTCGCAGGAGGCGTGTCTGGTGAATGTCTGTGCAAACCTCCATGCGTTTGAGTCTCAGCTCGGGGGGGGCTTTTTAAAAAAACGCTTAATGAAAACTTTTCCATTATTTATAGTGTATTGCACACCACGAGACCGCTGCACACCACTCAGCAGTGTTTGGCTCCTGTGCCACCTCTGCCTGAGAAAGCAGGAGAAGTACGTTATGGTTTGATCCCTGAGGAGTTTTTCCAGTTTCTCTATCCTAAAACAGGAGTTACAGGTTAATATATGCTTTCTTTTTTTTTTTTGTTTTAAATATGTCTTGTTATGCTTATCATCTGTTTAGTACTGCCCACCAGTTCTGGGTGCTGAAAAGGTAAAATAGTGGGGAAAATAATGTTCAATGTCTGCAGAAGGAGGTTGTGAAGAATGAGCCAGTGCAGCAGTTCCTGGCTCTCAATCCAGGCACCTGTGCTTTAAATAAAGGCTAAAAGAATGTCACGAGCTTGGTCTTGCAGGGAGGTTCATTTACCTGCTGACCCTCAAAACTTAAGCAGAGATTTTTGCCTCTTTCTGAGTGAGCAGAAGCAGCAGGTCCCATGTAAGTTGCTTCTGGTGAGCACCCTCGTGGCACCACTCCCTTCCGTGGTGTTGGCTTTCTACTCTTTATCATGGTAAAAGAGAACACTGCCTGGTCTTGTAAGCCTCAAACTAGTGACCTCCCAGGTGTTTGGCTTTAGGGAGCCTCTTTGTGCTTTGTACAAATAATGCTGCTTTATTTTTTCTTTAGGGCCTTACATGTTGGGAACTGGACTGGTGCTTTACCTTCTCTCGAAGGAGATCTACGTGCTGAACCACGAGACGGTTGCAGCTGCCTGCATCTTGTCAGTCATCATTTATGGCATAAAGAAATACGGGTCTGATGTAGCAGCTTTTGCTGATAAACTTAATGAGGTAACAGAAGAAACCATAATCTGACTTTGTAGCAGTTAAAAACTATTCTGAGTTATCCCCTTAAATATTTAAAAGAACACTGTGTCCAGGCTGTCATAAAAATCTGAGTTCAGCGTCTCCAGAATGCTGCTTAAATAAGGTGTGGTTTAGATCTTGGGTTGGTATTGTTACATAAGCCTTCACAACCAGAACACCTCGTACCAGCACCAGTGGTTTTTTTAAAGTATGATTGATTGTGCCCCTAATTCTCTGTCCTGCTCTCCTTTAACCTCCACCCCGGCACAGTCCAGATTTTGCAGACGTTGCTCCAATCTCAATGTGGAATTTCAGAACTTGATTAGAGGTCACTTGTTTTCCTTTCATCTTCCTTTCATTCTGAAGCATGTTTTTTGTTTGTTTTTTTCTTTCAGGAGAAAATTGCTAAAGCTTTAGCTGTAAAAAACGAGGCTATTAAGGATCTGGAGACAGCGATTGAACAGGAGAAGAAGGAGCAGTGGCGGGTCGAAGGCCGCAGTTACCTCTTTGACGCGAAGCGGGTGCGCGGTTCCAGCTCTGCTGTCGCTTCCACTGCGGTTCCGCTACATCACAGAACCCCAGACTGGTTTGGGTTGGGAGGGACCTTAAACCTCATCCAGTTCCAACCCCCCTGCCATCAGCAGGGACCCCTTCCACTAGACCAGGTTGCTCAAAGCCTCATCCAGCCTGGCCTTCAACACTTCCAGGGAGGGGGCATCTACAACTTCCTTGGGCAACCTGTTCCAGTGTCTGACCACCCTCACACCGAAGAACTTCTTCCTAATATCTAATCTAAACCTCCCCTCTTTCAGCTTAAACCCATTTCCCCTTGTTTTGTCATTAATTGCCCTTATAAAAAGTGCTTCCCCAGCTTTCTTGTAGCCCCTTCAGGTACTGGGGGGCCGCTATAAGATCTCCCCGGAGCCTTCTCTTCTCCAGGCTGAACAGCCCCAACTCTCTCAGCCTGTCCTCACAGCAGAGCTGCTCCAGCCCTCACATCATCCTGGTGGCCTCCTCTAGACTTGTTCCAGCTTCTCCAGGTCTCTGTTATGTTGGGGGCTCCAGAACTGGATGCAGCACTCCAGGTGGGGCCTTACAAGAGCAGAGTAGAGGGGGAGAATCACCTCCCTCGACCTGCTGCCCACACTGCTCTGGATGCAGCCCAGGTGCATCATCTGGGTGCCCCTTAGATTGTGCCCCTTAGATTGCTAAATTGGTAACAAACCATTTGCCCTCTGTGTGTCCCTGGTGGCGCCAGTTCCACTCCTGGTCCAGTGACCTTTGCTGTAGAACGTGTTCTGCTGCTGTTCTGTGTTCTTACCAAACGTTAACACTTCTAATTTCCTTTTCTGTGTCTAGAATAATATTGCAATGGTGCTGGAAACTAATTATCGAGAAAGATTGCTGACAGTCTACAACGAAGTGAAAAAAAGGCTGGACTATCAGGTGGCTATGCAGAATTTAAAGCGCCAGAAAGAACAAGATCATATGATTCAGTGGGTGGAGAAAAATGTTATCCAGAGCATCACACCTCAACAGGTACTTGGGGTTTTTTTTTAATCTGCTTTACATTTTAATCTGTACAAATATTTGTTGTCCAATGATTCTGGCTTAAACCAGAAGATGATAGATCATCTTCAGGTGACTCCCAAACGTGGCTGCAGCACGTTCCTGCTGCTGAGTAAGAGCTGCCCAGCCCAGTTGCTGGGTACCAGGTGCTTGTCTTGCTGGTGATCTCAGCTGGAATCATGTGGGACGTTTGTTGTTGCAGCACAGAGCTAAGTTTGGGATAAGATGTATCACTAACAGGTCAGGGAACTCGCTCATAAAATTCTCTGTGCAGTATTGTGGCAGATCTGCAGATGGGCTCTGGGTGGCCTTTGTTTTAAGGAATAAAGCTGAAAAACAGAAAACATCTTCCTAGCGCTGCGTGCAGATGCTTTGATGCTGCTCACTGTTTGGATTTGAGCTGTAATTATTTCCCTTTTAATCTGTAACTCATTCTGTGTGTCTAAAAAGTAGCATCTTGCTTGTTTAAATGTCTTTCATGAAGTCTTTTCTTCTGAAAGCTGTTTTTTTCCTTTGTTTTGTAGCAGAAGGAGAGCGTTGCAAAGTGCATTTTGGACCTGAAGGCGCTATCGAAGAGCGCGCAGGCAGCGGTGTAACCGCGGCTGATTCCTCTGACGTGTCTCATTACTTACTGTTGGAAACTGTATGATTCTAAAGTATAATTAAACAAACAAACAAAGAAAACACTCTGCTGTCTTTCACTAGCAGTAGCAACATTGATTTCCTTTTTCTGTTTGCAGTAGATTGGTCACATAAACCACTGCAGTTAGTTTATAGTGGGAGATTATTTGTAACCACAGTACGTGCGATTCTGTTTAGTTCCTTGTTTGATCGGGAACACTTCTAGAGATAAGCTGCAGAACTTCACAGTGGAACTTTTCACAGTGAAAAATTCTGGTGCTAACACAGGGATTAGTGTTTGTTTTAAAATTCTGTGTGATAATTTCCTATAGATATTTTCTGTAACTGTAAACATGCTGTCCAACTGGAATGAGTGCCAGTGCTCCCATTCACCTAGTCCCGAGGTACTCTGAATGAATGTCTTCATTATAAAAATGAACTGGAAAAAAAAAAAACCTTCCACAACAAAGCTTCAAAAGGTGATGAAAGTGTCTTCCTGTTCTGCAGAAAAAAGGATGAAGCTGGCAGGAAATGTGTCAAAAGCTACTGAAAAAAATTAGCTTCAACCGAACTCATCAGTATTAATTTTAAAATGGATAAGTTTATTCTGAAGGGTGGGTTTTTTCTGGATTTTCATAGTAATAAAAGTTGTTTTTTTTTTTGTGTAATGAGAAAAACAGGTTTTTGTGTATGATGATAATACACAGCAGAAGCCTTTTCATTCTCTTTTTGTAGGAAGCTTTCCCTGAAGGGTGTAGTTGTATCTCAAATATCCCCGCTGAGCAAAGCACTCAACTGCTGTGTCGTCTCGTCCTTTCTGTGCGGGGAGGTGATTGATTTAGTAAATAAACTTCAGTAAGCAGACTAGAGTGTGCTTACATTCCTTCTCTGTATGGACTGGTGCTACAGCAGGGAAATGCTTATTTTTAGTGGAGTTAGTAAAATAGCAGTTTTCTACAGTTTTCAGTCCAACAACTCAACAACAAAAGGTGTTCTTTAGAGGTAAGAGCTTGACTTAGAAGTGAGCTCACTTAAGGTGAGGCTGACTTTATTTAGCTCAACAGCTTGTGCAAGTGCAAGTGTTTTTCATTGTTTCCTGTTTTTTTTTTTTTTTAATTAAAAAAAAAAAAGTGAAGTTGCTCAACTTCCACATTTGTGTTGAGCCCACGTTTGAATGACGCCTGAGCTTTAGTTTGACACAGATTCTTTTCACAAAGCAAGAGGTTCAACTGTGCCAACGCTTCAGGGATTTCCTAGCAGCAGGCAGTGGTTCTATGGTGTGAGGTAAGATGGAGCTGTGTCACTTACTGTCCTTACCTGTTACTGCAAATACAGCACAGACTTGGGGTGGGAAACCAGGGGGTCTTCACTTTGACTTCTGGAATGTGGGAATCGGTGGGTGTGCGGTAGAAAAAGGTGACAGCAACAGGGAACAGGATGTTTGTGTTCATGTTGTCAGCAATGCTTTCGTATTATTTGCAATGTGCAGTTTTCAAGCCATGTAGTGAGAAAAGCCAGACTGGTATTTCCCTGTCTTTTAAGATTCTACCCTTAAATTTAAGAAGCGAGTTATTGTTTCTGATTTGGTGCAAAAAGTGAGAGAAACTTGAGAAAGAAAAACTTAAAAAAAGGGTATTTTGTCAAAGCTGCTTTGACTATGAAAATTTGCATGAAGTTTACTCAGTTCTACCTGCTGCAAAAATGATACTGTGGGTGGGTTTTTTAGTTATTAAATACACTCGGTTTTTCTGAAGGAAAGTGGCATCTTCATCCAAGTGTAGTGACCGTGCATGTAGGGGAACAGAACACTGGGTAGCAGGATTCGTGCTCAGTAACAGCCAGGTTGGCTGCTGTGGCTTTGTCCCAGTTTGTATGAGATGTCTGAAACAGTGATAAAAACTAAATAATTAAGTCTGGGAGTTAGAAGAGGGTGATAGGTTTGTTTTACTCTAGTGTGTGTACATATATTTATATAAATACAACTTTTTTTTTTTCCCTCCCTCCCTCGTTCTAGCTGCTCTTACTGTTCCTTAGTATTTGGAGAGGATGGGAGGTAGTTCCACAAAAGCAACTGCAGGTATTTTCTTCTTTAAGGAGTTTTCTTAGATGCAATATTCTTGACTAAACTGATATTGTCCTGACTTGAAAAGGGCTGCTGTGGGGGGAGCTTAGTGGGAGATGTGTGCATTGGGGAGGAACTGCACGGCTGCCAGAGGCTGCTGTGGGACAGTAATGATGAGAACAATTAAATCTTTGTCTGGTGATTCCACTTGCAGCCCTTCAATAGAGAAACATTACACTTAGAGCAATACTTACCTGAATAGGCACATGCCTCTTTAGTTCTTGTTGTTTGTAATATTACTGGAGTAATTAATTCACTTTAAATGCATTTTTTGTTTTGTTTTGTTTTCTATTCAGTTCCAGTTACACCAGAACCCATTTCCACAACTGGCACTGTATATACCACTATATGTACCTCTACGGCTGACTTAGCTTCAGAAGTCAAATGCTGTGTTGATAAGTAAATGCTCCACCTTTATTTCCTGACTGAAACACAGTTCCCTGGGACTGCAGCCTCCTCCTGTAGAGGAGTTCTGTGTAATGCATTCTATATCTTGGGGTTTGAAAAGATTGCTTACAATTTCCTAGTCTGTGCACTAAATATGTAATTCACAGTTATGCTTCATGTAGATACACACCTTGTAATCTCCTGGGGTGTGGGGCAACTGATGTGTTTCATGAAGTGTAATGAATTTGAGCACTACTGATTCTTTAACACCTCTGTTAAAGCTGGAGATTCTGACGCTGTTTTCTGTGTAGCAACAGCCAGGAAATACTCTACCTATCGCTGGCCTTCATCTCTGGCATCCTGTCCACTGTTCTGGTTTTTGCAATCATCTACCTCATCAGAAAAAGTAAGTGGCACAGTAGAGGGAGTAACAGCAGCGTGATGGTGCGGACCTGGTGGCAGGGAGGTGCTAAACACCTTGTGCTGCACATCTGAACGTGGATGGAGCTGAGTCTCCAGGCTCTTCCACGCATCTTGCAGCACAAGGGTTTCCAAGTGACTTTGACAGAAGTTAACTTTAGCTCTTAGGAGTTGTGGGATTTGTTGCTTGTGTTTGTTTCAGTTTGTTTGGGTTGGTTTTTTTTCATCCTAACACTGTCCACACCAGTTCTTACCAAATTTATCAGTTGCTTTTATCCTGGTCTAGCCACTTCCAAGGGCTGGGCAGAGACTGGGGCTGCCAACCCGCTGCCTTTGCAGTGAAGGTCTGTGACAGATTTTACAAGCTACGTCTGAGCCATGTGCTCTCTGGTGCCACCGTGTCACCCCACTCTCATGCTGCTGCACCCAGACACAGCACAGAGAGCTGAGACGGGTATCCCTCTCCTTCCTAGAGTTTAAGAGATCCCACCAGAACTTACAGGAGCAGACAGTGACTGAGGAATCCGATAAGAACATCCAGGTAAAGGTCACAACTGTTATTTCTAATGCTTTACACAGAGACTGAGATTCCTGGGAGAATGTTAAATGTTAAGGGGCAGGGGGAAGAGGTTTGTTCTTGCAAGACTCAAGTGTTCACTGATGGTTCTTTAAAAGAAAGAAGTTATTTTGTGTATCCAAGGCTTCACCCTGTGTTTACAGTCACCTGAGGAGGTACCTGGGCAGCAGGAGGAAAGATATTCCTTCTCTCTTACCACAGGGCTCAAATCCCATACTCCCCATGTATGTCAAGGGTTCTGGGGCTTAACTAAACCACTAATTAGGAAGGTTAGGGGAAAATCTTTTTAAAGGCCAAGCATTTCTGCAGTTTTCATTCATGTTCTTGATTCGACCCAGGATCCTGAGCTGGTCTGACCCAGCACAGTGTTTAACTGGATTTCCCATGTGCAGGGACAGGCTGTGACTGTTTATGGTGTGTGTAGCATTGAGGACAAATTAAAAGCAGGAGATTGATGCTGAGATGTGATGGTTGCACACTCTCTAATGTTTGTGGCTTCTTTCACATCCGCAGAATGAGGTTGCCTACACCACTCTGGTCTTCCAGCAGAGTCGGATGCTGACAGCTGTGTGATGATGAAGTTTCTAGTGAAATTAAACCGCTTGCACTTTCTGCACATCAGACGCTCCCAGAACGTTACACCCAGTCCTGTAGTCCTCTGAGAAACGCCAGCACTGCCGTATGTAACATCAGCTCATCTTATGGCTATAAAGGGAGACTAATGTCTCCTGTTCCAAACTGCTTACCAACAATTGTGGATAAATTCCTTTTTTCTACCATATTTCCTCACTGTAGAAATCCCAGCGAGTCCTTATGATGCACTTGTAAAGTTTCCATTTGTGCGTTTGCTTCGAGTTCCCAAAGAGAACTGAAAAATGGAAAGGTTTCTCTGCATTTGCTCGTTACTGTGCCCTTGTTTCCCTTTTCTGACACTGACTGTAGTATTTTTCTTAGGTTTTGATTGCCCAGTGCTCTGATGAGTTATTTTCTACTTGTTGAAGTTAGGATAATGAAATCTTTGTATGCAAATGACTGCTTCCTGATTCGGTCACATAAAAGAAATGCATAATCACGGTGTGACAGTCAAAATTTCTGCAAGTGTTGATTCATGTCTTATTACCCAGAGTGTTCTAACTGTATTGTAAGAAGTTAAAAATCATTTCCTCTTAATGAACCGGGGAATAAGTTACCACTAGTGACTCAGTCTTAGCAGCCCCAGAGAAGATTCTCGGCACGTTCCTGTGCCCACGGGTGGGAGGTTTGTTGTCCAAGGAAGCACAGTCATCTCCATCTGTCATGCAAGGCTGGATCAGAGTGAAGTTTCCTGCTGCCTCAGCCCTCTGGACTTCAGAAGCCTCCTCGTTTCTGGTCACCAGAGAGCGTCAGCTTCTGGCAGGTATTTCTCTCTTCTGAAAATGCAGATTGCCTGCTGTTGTAAACACCTCTCTAGAGGAATCTCTTAAGCAGGA